TTGGCAATTTTAAGATGTGTGGACTTCAACTCCCAGAATCCCCCCAGCTGGCCATTACAGGTGGCCCTTTGTTTAGTGACCATTCAACGTTACAGCAAAAAGTGACTTATGACCGTTTTTCACACTTACGACGGTTGCAGCATCCCCGTGGTCACGTGACCAAAATTCAGACTCTTGGCAATTGACTCATATTTATGATGGTGGCAGCGTCCCCGGGGGGGTCCCATGATCCCCTTGTGCAACCTTCTGACCAGAAAAATCAACGGGAAAAGCCAAATTCACTTTACAACCGTGTGATTCACTTAACAACTGTGGCAAGAAAGGTCATAGAATGGGGGAAAATTCGCTTAACAACTGTTCTGTTTAGCAACGGAAATTTGGGACAAAACTGTGCTTTGAAGTCGATCCCTTCCCTCTGTTTTCACTGTTTAACAGAAAGCTCTTGTTGGGGCTTTCTTTACATTTTTGCCTTGTTGCCTCTCTTCCTTTCAATCTGCTGCCAGTAGCATAGATGGGGAAGAGTCCCCTGGGCCTTCTTCCATTATGGAGAAGGAAAACACGCCATATTTTATTTTTATTTTTAATTTATTTTCACCAATTTACAAGGCTCTCCAGCTCACAACATACGAACGCTGGGTGGCTAGCATTCAAGACAACCAACCACCCAAACACAATAGCAATAAATTGTTGTTGTTGATTGCGAAGTCATGTCCGACCCATCGTGACCCCATGGACAACGTTCCTCCAGATCTTCCTGTCCTCTACCATCTTCTGGAGTCCATTTAAGCTCACACCTACTGCTTCGGTGACTCCATCCAGCCATCTCATTCTCTGTCGTCCCCTTCTTCTCTTGCCCTCCATCTTTCCCAGCATTAGGCTCTTCTCCAGCGAGTCCTTCCTTCTCATTAGGTGGCCAAAGTATTTGAGTTTCAACTTCAGGAAGCAATAAATAGATATGTCTAATATTCCAATGTCCGTGAATTTGTAACTTTTCATCCGTTTTTCCAGCAATACAGTCATTATCATCCAGGAAGAAACAGAAGAGTGTTCTGTCACTGCTTGATGAAAGCTAATGTTGAGTTTGTTTTGATCTTTATGGCAATACGATCACTAATACATTTACCGGGGGGGGGGATCCACTAGGCTTATTAGAAGTTGGATTCTTTTAAAGAATGAACCCCCTTCCCTGTCACCCCTCCCCATATAAAAACCCCAGACTCCGGCTGCAATTTCCAGAGCCGCTAACTAACCAAGCGTTAGCAGCTACAGGATTTGCCATGACAGATCTAAGCCGTGATCCATCATAGTGTCTCGCTGCGGTAGTTTTCACATTTAGTAAAGCCGTGTAGTGCAACATCCAATCAATTTTTCTTCCAGAGTAGAAGCTTAGAAAACAGGAAGAATCGGTGCTTGGTAAAAATAGCTCAGGCAACTTAGTTAAACTTTTAACAACTTTTGGGGTACCACTCGCTTTTTTTGTATATCCACTGATAAGGGTCCCATCCAGAGGAATTGCACACCATCAGGATGATAGAGGGATTATAGTTTTCAAGAGTATTAGCAGGTTTTGTTTCTATAATCATTTTTTTATATCATTTATAAGCTACCCAGAGTAAATTTTTGGCATATAAATTTAATATACCGTATTTTCTGGCATATAAGATGACTCGGCGTATAAGACAACCCTGACTTCGGAGACAATTTGCATGGTTTAGAAAGTTGTCTTATATGCCAGAAAATACGGTAAATGAATGAATGAATGAATAAATGCTAATTTATTTAGTAGATTTGTATGCCACTGATGTTACATCTGGACTGCTCACCATATTCAAAATAATTCTTAAAATATTTAAAAAAAAAATAGAAGAGCATAAAGAAAACTCCTTATCCAGAGCTTGGATTGGGTTGCTTTTTTTTGTCTTGTGTTCCTCCAGTTAAAAATTCTCTGTTGGCTTATTTTCACCAAAGCTGTCTTTTTTTTTTTTAACTGTCTGGTTAAAAATACCAGGATATGATATATATTTCAGCGACTATGGTAAAAAAAAATTTAAAAAAAAAATCAAGCGCAACTAAAAAAAAAAGTGAGAGAGAAAAAAAATGACAATTTAATCAATCAACCTCTATTCCTGCAGGGGGGAAAATACTTAAAATAACCTATAAACTTTAGAAGGTTCCATCACTCTGAAATAAGCCTGCAGCACCAATGTTTATTAAAGTGTCAAGCGCAGTGTATTCACTACAGAAATTGCAAAGCCGGTGGGTTGAATTTTGGATTGTCCTCAGTCTTAAGGTCAAAAAAAAAAAAAAAAAAAATCTTACTTGTTTCCCAGCTTAGAATCCCCCAGAAATATGGCTAGGAATTAAAAGAGTCTCAGTCTGAAACAGATTGTGATTTTTTTTTCCCCCTTTGCATATTGCTTGGGATTATTACTTGCACGATATCCTTGAATGGCCTGAACACTTCCAGATTGGCTGAAACAAAACTGAAAGAAAGAAGGGGAATTTAGACTCTTAAATTGGAAAAGGTGACCTTGGCAAAAAGAGAGAGAACAGGGAGGAGGAAGCAAAGAACAAAAGAAATCTAACAAAGACAATCTAGCCACGCAGGGGTCATTCCTTCTTCATCTACAGCAGACATGTCAAACACAAGGCCCAGGGGCCGGATGCGGCCCGCAAAGTGGTTTCATGTGGCCCGTGAAGCCATCCTGGAAACAGTGAGGGAACAGCCCCCATTGCCTTGGCCCTGGCCCAGGCCGGCCAGGAGCCAATGTACAATTTTGTGGTGGCCATCTATGCTGAAAGGCATTCAGTCTTAGTTCCACAAGGCCGTTTGGAAACAGCGAGGAACCAGCCCCTGCTGCGTCGGCACCGCGCCCTGGGTGCATGCTGGGGAGGTGTCACCCTTTGTGAGGAATGAAGAAATGCACCATCGCCTGGAAGTGGCCAGCAAATGGCCCTCGCCTACTTCACATGTCCAGCTTGATGAGCTCTGCCCTGGTCCCACCGCTTCTGCCAGAGACCCTCAGATCTGTCCCACTCCTGCCCAGGCCCCCACCGACACCCTTGACGCAAACGATGTAGAGCTGGCCATGCTCACCCAGTAGGCCACACCCAGTCCATCCACGCCCACTTAGGAGGCCGCACCCACCCTGGCCACACCCACCCAGCCCCCTGAGGGCAACCGCAATGCTGATGCGGCCCTCAATGAAATTGAGTTTGACACCCCTGATCTACAAATGAGGACTGTGCTTTTTATCATGCCCAACTCTCGGCAATTAACAATAAAAGAAACAGTAATGATCAAATCTCTAAATTCAAGTAAACGTAAGCCCAAAACTAATGTTATCACAATGTGGTTGAGATCCTCAAAAATACTAACATCCTATAAATGTATCGCCAGCCTGTCAGTCTTCAGAGATAGACCAGAAAGAAAACAGGACCAGATGAGCTAATTCCACTTTGTTGTAAAGCTGCATTTACTAAATATTTTTAGTCTGAAAGTACACAGCTCCTGCTGTCTCTTTTACAGCCTGAGAAGTCCTTCTGAATTTCCTTCTCTGACTGTGATGCAGCCGAGGGCTATGCTGTCTCTTATCTGATTGATCCTTGGGTACCATCACTTCTTCCTGCCTCCCAAGGCCGTTCCACACACCGTTACTTCGCCTCATCCCAGCCCAACACCCGAAGAAATATCCACGATTTTAAACCTTTTTGAAATAGAGTTGGAGCCATTTAAATCTTGGGGTGAAAGGTGCTCTACAGGACACCATTATATTTCATCCCCATGCCTTGAGACAGAAAAAAAATTAAGCATGGACAATTTGGAAACCACAATTCATACTGACTGGGAAAGGCTTCAGGATAACATCTGGTGCATCTGGAATTTTGCAGTGGCTCTTTCCCCCCATAATTACCTGCTTTCCCCATCTGGAGATGAAGCATTACGGATGTTCACTTTTATGGTCTAATGCGTGAAGCATTCATTTATTCCAAAGTATCCAACTCCTGGTCCATCTTTAGTAGATTAGTAGTCCCATCCAACTAATCTCTTTAGAAATGCAGATTCTGCTGAATCGTGAAGTCTAGTTTTTGGACCTAGCAGATGTATTAGATGACAGTCTTCCAAAATCTTTGGCCAAGATAATTGGCCTGTAACTTGAGACTTAATTGCTACATTCAGCTTGTGCATAGGCAATATTATTTTTCTGGATCTGTATGACAGTTAGTTAGTTAGCTTCCTAACTTCCTCTTAGAGCACTTAGCCTGAACTAATTAAATGCTTATTTATTATTCACAGCATCCTTTCCCAATCAGCTATTCTTCAGAGTTTTGTAATTATTTGTTAGTAATGTGTTGCTAATTATTATCACTAAATAGTCTGCAATCATAGACATATGCCTCGTCTCAAGTGGAAAGAGAATTTTGGTGGGGTAGGGTTAGGGCTTGGAGGGAGGCTATTTTAGGGATAATTTAGTAATCCATCCTAGTTCAGGCATAGCTGAAGTTTCTATGAACTTTGAAACATTATGGAACGTTTGTTATTTGTTGAATCAAAAACATATCCTGCCTTAGTGTTTCTTTTCTGGTCATTTCATATTGATTTCTATTATGCCTTTCATAAATCAGCAGTGGAATAAAGATGAAAATTCTCCAGAGATAAAGAGGGAGTTTTAGGATGTTTGTTATGAAATGCATAATCAAGCACTTGGCAATTGTACAAGCTGTTAAAGAAATTCTTCTTTTTTTACCGTTTAATAATATTCATCCCATTGAAACGTTCCCACACTGTAGGCATGACTCCAATGAGGGGGAAAAAGTGTTTCCATGGGATTAAGTTTGTGCATTACTACAGGTAGTCCTCAAATTATAACCACAACTGAGACCAAAATTTATGTTGCTAAGTAAGAAATTTGTTCAGTGAGTTTTGCCCCACTTTACCACTTTTCTTGTCCCCGTTAAGCGAATCACTGCAGCTGTTTAATTAGTAACACGGTTGTTGAGTGAATTTGGTTTCCCCGTTGACTTTGTCAGAAGGTCGCAAAAGCGGATCACATGGCCCCGGGACACTGCGACCGTCATAAATGTGAGTCCGTTATCAACCATCCGAATCTCAATCACGTGATCATGGGGATGCTGCAACAGTCGTGTGAAAAATAGTCATGTCACTTTTTTCAGTGCCGTTGAAACTTTGGTCACTAAGCAATCTTCATAAGTCAAGCACTACCTGTTATCCATGGCAGCTCCATACAGATCCTCCATATGTGGCAGCAGTCTATCTGCAGAGGCCAAATGGCTGGGACATGCAGAAGGAAGATCAGGCACGCATGTTTTTTTTTTTTTTTTGAGAGGAGAATATTGGGTTTTTTTCCATTTTTTTTTTCATCTGACATTTATGATGATCTGTGTACAGACAATAAAGGACATGAAATGAACATCACTTGGACATAGTGAGTGTGCTCCATACCTGCCAGTTCTGGCTCTCCTTCTTGCAAACTTTTTTTTTTTTTGAACTTCCCAGGAACATTTTTCAAGTCATCACTTTGCATTTATCAAGCTTTTAAAAAGTCCCATTCACACTTGGAAGCCAAGGAAAAGAAAGTAAGGGCATGAGCCAGGAGGAAGGCATCACCGGGGTCTACCGAGCATGCGTCGGCCATCGCGCATGCTCAGTCACTACCAACGCCACAAAGTGGCGATTTCACGACGAGGGACCGCTGCACGGCGAGTGACAAAAAACGTAAACGGCGCTGCGCTTTGGGGGGATTCCGGCTTGGCGTCGTCATGGCTCGGGACGTGAAGAGCAAACTATCCAAGAATCTTCTCCGCATGAAGGTAAGAGACGTCTGAACGGACTCGCTGGGCGAGCTGAGGCGAAAGCCTTCGGAAAGGGGAGGGGCTACCCGCGACTCTTTCCGAACTGTTTCCGGCGGCGGGCGAAGACAACCCGATTGGCTTCGGCTCGCGACGAACGAGAGAAGAGCCGCCAATTGAAGCCGGGAGGCGTGGCGCCGAATGCGACCGAAGAGCTTCGGAAGTGGGCGGGAGGAAAGCCGAGGAGCCTCGTAAACAATTCGAACGGAGCCGAGGCGCTTCCGGCTGAGCGCGTGGCGAAGTCCTTCGCCCTCTGCGCATGCTCAGACCTAGAAATGCTGCTTTTGAATCTTTGAAGGAATTGAATTGGATTCTCGGCAAAATTGCTTGTAGGAAAAGAAAGTTTCCACCTGAATACCAGCCCAGCTTGTGCTGGGCTTCTGCTCGCCTGGATTTTTTAAGGGTGCAAGGAAAGCACTCTGTGCATGCTTTGAAGTCTGCAATACTCATAATTTTGCAAGAAGGGGAAGCGTGTGCTTAAGCTTGCTTGCTTAACATTTTTTTTTTTACATCCTCAAATGAATGTAATGGGGTGGATGCATCACTTTAAAACAGCATTTCTCAACCTTGGGCTCTTTACAATGTGTGGACTTCAACGCCCAGAATTCCCCCAATCAGCCTGGGGAATTCTGGGATTCCAAATCCACTTCTTAAAGTCTCCAAAACTGGTTTAAGCATTGCAGATTACTTTTTTAAAAAGTGTATAGTCCTTTCGAAGGGTTTTGCTTTGCAAGTCGTATTTTCCCTGAAGTAGTTGGAGACGTTGCTAAATTGGGTCTAGGCCAGTGGTTCTCAACCTTTTTAATGCCGCGACCCCCAACCGGTCGTAAGTCGAGGACTACTCAACCAGTCGTAAGTCGAGGACTACTCAACTGGTGCAGCACCGTTTGCAGAATGTGACTTTTGGCGGGCTCAGCATGACAGAGACAGCCTGGATAATTCCTATTGGCTTTTGAAAGCCAATAGAATAGACTCTCTTGAATAGAGTCTAAGGGAGGAGCACAGCTAAGGAAAAGGGGAAAAAAATGGTGGACTGCGTTGTTTGGCGACCCCCGTGAAATGGTTGTTCGACCCCAAATGGGGTCCCAACCCACAGGTTGAGAAACACTGGTCTTTTTGCTGGGATAAAAAACCTATTTCTCTGTGCCTTTGGAAGTCTCTTTCACGCTTTCTGCTTTTTCCATTTGCTACTTATTTGTTTACGTAGTACATGCACGGGGGCTCTGCAATTTGCAAGAACGACTCTTGGCAACTTCCGGTTCAAAAAAGCATGAAATTACATAGCCAGGCCAGCGAAGAGATTAAAACTGTTTGAAAAAGAATTAAAATGATGCACACAGAGATGAGCAATAATCAGAGAGGTCCAAGACACAGTTTAAAAATATTTAAGTAGAAATTAGCAGTTTGGGGGTGGATGGATATTACAAAGCTTTTTCCATTTTTTTCACTTTCTTGTTTGTCTTATCTCTAATTTTATATTTGCACTTCAGCCCTTGTTCTACTATAATAAGTATCACTTTCTCTTTGTTTTTGATTTTTGTTTGTATACCTAACAAAAAAAGAAAAAGAAGCATGAAAACGAAGAATTTAAAATGCAAGACAATTTAAATAATACAGTAAAACTTCCTAGTCGTTAAGGCACCAGGCCAGTGAGTGGGGTGTGTTAATAAAAACCCCAACCTGGCAGTTGTCCTTGGATGTGTGAATCTGGTGTTAAATTCAGAGCCAAATTAATCTCAATTCAGTGCCTGATTTCTTCCTTCCTTCCTTCCTTCCTTCCTTCCTTCCTTCCTTCCTTCCTTCCTTCCTTCCTTCCTTCCTTTCTTCCTCCCTCCCTCCCTCCCTTCTTTCTTTTCTATCTTCCTTCCTTCTTCCCTCCCTCCCTCCCTCCCTTCCTCCCTCCCTCCCTTCTTTTCTATCTTCCTTCCTTCTTCCCTCCCTTCCTTCCTCCCTCCCTCCCTCCCTTCCTTCTTTTCTATCTTCCTTCCTTCTTCCCTCCCTTCCTTCCTCCCTCCCTCCCTCCCTCCTTTCTTTTCTATCTTCCTTCCTTCTTCCCTTCCTTCCTTCCTTCCTTCCTAGACTGGCATTCATAAGTTGAGCTTGTTGTTGTTGTTGTTGAAATAGTCTGCAATGTCTGTGCAAGATCTGGATCCATATCTCCTTCCAAAGTTACAGACCAGAGATCAAAAAATAGTTGACTTCTTGGTCTTTGAAAAGCAACCTTCTTTCTTTCTTTCTTTCTTTCTTTCTTTCTTTCTTTCTTTCTTTCTTTCTTTCTTTCTTTCCATCTAAGCCGGATTGCCATTAATTTTTAAAAACATAAATATTCATCAAATATTTATAGCTCAATATTGCCAGCCCTTCATGGTTTGTTTGCTTCAAGTTGATGTGGATGCCATTACTTTTCACCTCCCATCTTTGAGACTGCCATTAAGTTGTAGGCTTTTTTTAAAAAAAAAATATTTTCAGAAGGAAAAACAAAAAACAAAGGCCGAGCAGGATCTAAGAAAAACACACAAAAATAAACCCCACCATTTATTTATTTCGCTCTCCCTTCTCAAGTCCCTCAAGTGGTTACTTACCTGGCGGAGACGTTTGCCGGTAGATCTGACGGGTGATTTAAAATGGGTTGTCTGTAAATGATCCACAAAAAGGTTGGGAGGCTTTTCTCCTGCGGCTTGAGCACGCACGAAGGGATTTTATTCAGGATTGCAACCCTAACAATCTCTTTCCCATGGAAGTGAATTTCCTTCTGTCGGATCGATGGGTCTTCTGGATAGCTGAGATCAGTGAGTCACTCCAGGCTCAGCCGTGGAAACAGAAAACTGATGGGAGAAAAAAGACCTGGGACAGACAGTTCATTTAGTGACCGTTTAGAGTTACATTGAAAAAAGGGACTTTTGTTCACACTTAATGACCATTGCAGCATCCCTGTGGCCACGTGATCAAAATTCGGATGCTTGGCAATTGCTTCACATTTATGACGGTTGCAAAGTCCTGGGGTCGTGTGATCTCTCCTGGCTAGCAAGGTCAACGGGGGAGCCAGGTTCACTTAACAGTTGTGTTACTAACCTCCCGACTGCAGAGATTCACAACTGAGGCATGAAAGCTTGTCAAACGGGGCAAAATTCACTTAACAGCCGATTTCTATAGCTCTGCCCGATGTACGGGGCCTTGGTTCCTATGTTCTTATCTCAGGCCCAGGGATGGCTCCATTTAAATGCATCATGGAGCATCCCTTGGAGACTAGCAGTTCCTCCTAATGTTCTTCCTGTGCGACACATTTTCAGATTTTGTTTGGACATAGCCAAGTTTCGCTATTTCAATCCCGGCTGGTGGGACTTTGGCACGAACAAGGCATATGGCAAGGAACAAAACCAGCAACCCCGATTTGCTAGCTACAAGGCCTGCCCCCCTACCCTGCCCCAAACACACACATTCGCACAACTGCATCAAAGTGGGAAACCATTCCCTCGGTGGGGGAACAAGATTGACAGACTAGCTTGCCTCCAGATCTACAATCTGCTCTCTTCCCAGATCTTCTCTGCAAAGCTGGGGGTGTGTGTCACAGAGAGAGAGAGAGAGAGAGAGAGGCTAGACATCCCTGGTGAATACAAATTCCAACCCTTGAAGAAAGGGCTTCTTTACAGTCAGGTGTGACTATGTGTGTGTGCCTGTGCGTAAAGCTAAAAGCGGGTTTGGCAAGGAGAGCTGAGACTTGGTTGCAAAATCTTTGAGGACCGAAGAGTGATATACTTTCTAAGTCTACATGGGGCTACCCTTGAAGGGCGTTCGGAGGCTGCAGTTGGTTCAGAATGCAGCCGCGAGAGCGATTGTGGGTGCGCCAAGGTACGCCCACGTGTCACCTATCCTCCGCGAGCTGCACTGGCTTCCTGTGGGTCTCCGGACGCAATTCAAGGTGTTGGTTATCACCTTTAAAGCCCTTCATGGCTTAGGACCAGGTTACTTATGGGATCGCATACTGCCGCGTAGTTCCCAGAGACCGGTGAGGTCCCACAGATTGGGCCTCCTTCAGGTCCCGTCGGCCAGACAATGTCGGCTGGCGGGCCCTCGGGGAAGGGCCTTTCTTGCGGTGGCTCCGACCTGGTGGAATCAACTTCCCCCGAGGTTCGAACTACTCCAACCCTGCCGGCCTTTAAGAAAGCCGTTAAAACTCTCCTGTTCCGTCAGGCCTGGGGCTGATGTCCCCGGGGGGGGGGAGGCGGGATATGATCGGACTCGCGGTATGACTGTATTATTTTATTGTTTTATGATTGTTTTAACTCTGTACGCCGCCCTGAGTCCTTTGGGATTGGGCGGCATATAAATAAAATTAAATACAAATACAAATGACCGCCATCTAGAAGCCTTGCCTTTCTGTCTTCAACCATCCCAGTCCTTCATTCATTTTTATTTTCTCTGGATTCCGCTACAATCCAGCATGACTTAAGATACATTTGCGTTTTTTTTTAACTTCACCTTGTTTGACTGACATTGCTTTTGCTTGAAAAATATGCCATAGCCCATTCTGGATAAATTTGCCTGCCAGGAGACATACTGACTTCTTCAGGCCTGGGGAAAGCACATTCACAAGAATGTGTGTACGGGTAGTCTTTACGTTCCCAGACATGGTTCAAGACCAATCCTTCTTGAATTTCAGAGGGAAGGGGGAGGGAGGGCAGAAGAGGGAAGGAAGGAAGGAAAGAAGGAGGGAGATAATAGATAGGAATGAGAAGGAAGGAAGGAAGGAAGGAAGGAAGGAAGGAAGGGAGGGAGGGAGGGAGGAAGAAGGAAGGAGAGATGGAAATGAGAAGGAATGAAGGAAGGTGATGGGAATGAGATGGAAGGAAGGAAGGAAGGAAGGAAGGAAGGAAGGAAGGAAGGAAAGGAGGAAGAAGGGAGGAGAGATGGAAATGAGAAGGAACGAAGGAAGGTGATGGGAATGAGACGGAAGGAAGGAAGGAAGGAGAGGAGAGAGGAGAGGAGAGGAGAGGTATAATGGAATGGAACAGAACCGGAATGGAACTGAAATGGGAATGGAATGGAATTCTTTATTGGCCAAGTGTGATCAGACACACAAGGAATTTGTTTCCGGTGCATAAGCTCGGAGTGTATGTATAAACAGGAAGAAATAGGCCATAAATAGGTCATAAATCATAGTTGCAGTCATGAATCGTACGTTACAACCAACCATTGATGAAATCTTCAAAAATTTGCGAGGGCAGCAGGAGGGCCTGTCTGTTTTTCAGTCCCGCCGGTATGCAGATGATATGCAAATGAGCAGCCGCCTCCTGCCCCGTGCTGGCTTCCTCCTCCCCCCCCCCGCTGCTTTCTCACCCACGGCTCCCTTCCCTGCAAATGGCACCTTGTGTCAAAAGCAGAGGCAGCGGCGCTGGGCTGGGGTTGCAGCACACCTGGATGGGAGCCTTTACCCAGGCAGGCTTTCCTTTTTCCACACTTTGATAGGCAGTCTCTTCCCTGCCCCAGATTAAGCTCCCTCCTGGAAGCGCAAACAAATCATCATTATTCTTTTCTGTCTCTCTCTCTCTCTCTCTTAATCCTTTGCCTCGCAGCTGTTCAAATCAGGAGCTACATATTTTTTATCGCAAGGGTTTTTGCGTGCTTAATCTTCTTCAGGTGATTATAGCAACTTGTTAACGGGATATATAATTTTTTTGTGTGTGTGTGGGGAAAAACAATATTCGCTGAGAATTTTAATTGAACGTGGTAGAAAGTCCTTGCCTTCGTTTGGCATCCTTCCCCCCCCCCCTTTTCCCTTTTTATTTTCACTGCTCCAAATAAGGGACAGATTTCTTTAGGGGGAAAAAAAAAAAAAGGTTACGTGGCAGTTTTAGTATGCCATTCTTGTCCTTCGTTGTGTGTCACCTTTCTGTTCTAGGGATTCATCGTGTCCGTGAGCCATAACAATGCAGGTAGTAAGTCCTCGACAGCCATCCATTGGGAACCAGAATGTCTGTGGCTAAGCAAGGCAGTTTTTTAAGTGAATTTTGCCTGATTTTGCCATTTTAGTTGTTAGGGGAAAGTTGTTAAGTGACTTACACAGTTGTTAAGCGAAGCTGACTTCCCTCGTTGGCTGTGCTTGTCGGAAGCCAGCTGGGAAGTTCACAAATGGCGATCAGGTGACCCTGGGACGCTGCAACCATCGTGAATACATCCCCTTTGCCCTATGGCTGAATTTGGATCATGTAACTTTGGGGATGCTGCAACGAATGCAAGTTGGAGGAGTGATCACAAGTCACTTTTTTCACTGCCGGGGTAACAGTCGCAAAACGAATGGTTGTAAGTCCGTGTGTGTGTGTATATACCTGTAAACTCCCACAAAGTCGCTTGATGGTAAGACGGGCAGCGTAGGAATTCCCTCAATAAATTTTGAAAAACCTTTGCGTCTTGTCTTTCAGTTCATGCAAAGGGGCTTGGATTCAGAAACCAAAAAGCAACTTGAGGAAGAGGAGAAGAAAATAATCAGTGAAGAACATTGGTTTCTGGATCGACCAGAACTGAAAGAAAAAGAGTACGTTTGCTGCCTGTCCGTCTTTGCATCTGTGGGAGGAGATGGGAAGATAAAAAGCAGAAGTAACAGAATAATAGCGCTGGGCGGGACCTCGAAGGTCTTCCAGTCCAGCCCCCTGCTCAAGCGGCTGACCCTTTACTATTCCAAACAAACAGGCTGTCCAGTTTCTTTGTAAAAAATCTCCGTCAATGGAACACTCACAACATCAAAACAAAACCAAAAACAAGAATTGCCTTCTGCTGTTGGAGATCAGTCTGGAGCTTTTTTTGGTTTCCTGCCAAGAGGTTGGCTAAGCTCAACTTGCTTGTTCGATCCCCTTTTTGAAACCATGATTTCTTCACAGGAGTCTCATCAGAGAGGAAAGAAGCTTCGTGATGTGTGAAGATCTTCTGTATGGTAGAATGTCCTTCAAAGGGTTCAATCCTGAAGTCGAGGTATTATTTTTGGGGGGGGGGGGGCTTATAGCATTCGTTCATCCTTTTGGGATCTGGCTTGCAAAGGCGGTTCAAGATCAATGAAGTCCCTGATTCAGTTTGTACCATATTGAAATAACTGAATGGAAGGTTGATAGATACATTCACACATAACAACGGATGGGTGAATGGATGATAGATACGTACATTGGAGAGAGGGATAGATATATATGATGGATGGATAGATGGATGGATAGATTGGATGGGTGGGTGAGTGTAACTTTTGGATAGATGGATTGGTTAATAGATACATTCACACATATAATGGATGGGTGGATGGGTGGATGAATGATAGATAATACATTGGAGAGAGGGATAGATACATGTGATGGATAGATTGGATGAATGGATGGATGGATGGATGGTTGATGGATACATTCACACATATAATGGATGGGTGAATGGATGATAGATACATACATTGGAGGGAGGGATAGATACATATGATGGATGGATAGATTGGATGGGTGGGTGGATGTAACTTTTGGCTTTGATGAATTCACTAGCTATAAAATCAGAGAGGATTCATGAGTAGTTCAGAAGCACCTTCTCCAGACCAGCTGCATTCATGCAACACACTTAACCTGGTTCCTGTATTAACCATTTTCTGAGTTTGGGCTCCGGATGAAATACCTGTAGAACTGTTCTTTGATCTGTTCAGAATTTAACCGGAGAGCTGAATTACAGCAATACCTCTGAATAGTGACTGTTAGTGTCTTACAGTCTTGCCATTGATTGACTGGTTAACAAATAGAATGTGATAAGAAGCTTTAATCTTTGCTTCATCTGTGGGGGCAAAAATTGTGAGAGTTGTTTTCATCTTGGTCTATCAAGATTAACATATTTTTAATGACACCATAAATATTATTTTTGTGGCATTCTTATTGGGATATAAGCGTCTGTGGACTGGAGGGCCTTCGGGGGCGATAAGTCACAAAGAAAAGATGCTGCAATTGAGCAGTTAGCCATAATAATATTCTCTGAGGGTCAGTGTCATATCAAACTTGGCCCTTCAGCTGGAAAGAAAATATTGAGGTGCTTAATGTCTGCATTGCTTCTCTATTCATCTCCCTCATTCTTGCCAAATCGGTCTCCTTGACTTTTTTTTTCTTTCTTTCGAGGAGTGTAACACCTGAAGTGATATTCCAGTTTTTCATTTTCAGAAGTTAATGGTCCAGATGAACTCGAGGTACAAGACAGAAGATCCCGCAGAGGAAAAGAATGCAAAGGAAGCTGATGTATCGGATGAGGAAATGGCTAGAAGGTATTTCTTCTCCATTATAACACAAATAACGTTGTCGAGATGTGTTTTTCAGCCTTCTCCCTCCCCTCCCTCCAGTCTAAAATGAAAGTTCTCCCCAATGACCAGGCGTTTCATGTTCAAAACACTTGTTTTGCAAGAGAGTGTTTTATAACAGAAATAAGCTTTTGACTTGATGAGTTCTTTAAAAAAAAAAAAGCAAATAAAAATGCTTTGCTTGCTTTCTCCAGGCTACCTCAGTCAGACATCAGCCCCAGTACTTACTGACTTTCTTCCTTTTTATTGGGTTTACAGCCAACGAAAACATTAGAGGAGATGTTTATAGGCGTTCCTGGAGAAATTATTTCAAAATTCTTTTTAATGCATTTGGCTCTGGGGGAGTGCAAAACAGGATGCTGCAGCCGGAGGTGGGAAGAAGGATTTTAAATGAAAAGCTGGCTATCTTCAGTGGAAAATAGAGTGCCAGCTTGTTGTAATGGTTAAGGTGTTTAGTCTAACTGGGAGACTGTGAGTTTTAGTCTTACCTTAGGCATGAAAATCAGCTGGGTGATTTTGGTCCAGCTCCTCTCTCTCTCAGCCCAAGCTACCTCACAGAGTTGTGGTGAGCCCTCGTTCGAAAAACGTTTGCAGAAATTATCCCTCCAAATTTGATGGAAAATGGTAAGGCTATTTATGCCATGCCCTAGTTCAAACACACCGGTTAGGAAAGGATGATGGAGCTATCGTGACAAGTAATTTTGGACGGTTGATCTCATCTCCTTTTGGCTGTTCTTTATTATGGGATAAAACTCTTTTATCTATTGAAGGTGCTGAGACTTTCACTCTCTTCTCCTTGCTGCTCCACGTCCTGCTTTCGTTTCGTAAACCTCCATTTTCTCTGGGTAAATTTTCAAAAAATACGTTATGTTAAGGGCCAAAGAGAAGATTTGTAAAACTAAACTAATTGAAGTTCTGTCTGTTTGAACTGATGGGGTCGACAGGGAGAGCTCAAGCTTGTCTTGCCTCTCTCTTACTGGGGTGAAAAAGAAAATGAGAATCCAAAAAGAAATCTGAAAGTCTCTACATTTTGGGAGGTGCCAGACTGGAGAAGGTTTGCTTTCAAAGAGCATCTTACGATTCTTTTGTGATCTTCTCAAGGGCTGCAACCATGTTTGAACGTTTCTGTCATATTTGCAATGATTGTTCACAGGTACGACACGTTAGTGGGAACCATTGGGAAGAAATTTTTGAAGAAAAGAGACCGCCACGTTCTGCAAGATCCTACGGAGGTGGAAAGCACTAACAGGAGGCCCAGCAAAGTGAGGAAAGAGTTTTTAAAACCCCAGGATTAATGTCGGAAAATGTGTTTGTGTTCCTACAAGGAACAGAAACGTAGAATGCCATTTATGTTTTGATAAATCGCTGACTCTCCGGGAATGGACTGGTCCTTCCCCCCCCCCCGATACCTAATGGATGTTATACATACATCCTCTTTTCCTTTGCGCATGAACTTTTGAGGAGCACAAAAGCAGATGTAAGCGGATGCCGGTAAATAGTAGGGAAATAGTTCCTTTTTAAGAAACAGAATTCCAGAACTGGTTTTATCTGCTTCCTCGTGAGAAATGCGTTCCTAAGGGGCATTCCTTTTTAATTTCGGAAGATGTCTCCAGGTGCCTTAACATTATTTTTGTTGAGGACAACAGGGCTCCCCAAAAGAAGAGAGTTAACGCAAGGAAAGAAATGCACCTTTTTGCTGTAGCCTCTTTTCAGGGTGGGGAAAAAAAATCCTTCATCGGTTCTTCTAATGTATCGGCCAAACAGGCCTTTTATCACTTAGAAATAAATAATAATTATATTCCATTGCAAGTGGGGGTCTTTGGGTTTCTCTCCCCAGGGGAAGAAGTTCACAACACGAAATCAAAAGATATATATTTATGCCCACAGTATAGGTAGAGTTCGGCTTAGGACCCCAGTTGAAACTTATGTTGATAAGCAAGACAGTGGTTGAATGAGTTGCATCACATTTTACGACCTTTTCTTGCCACGATTGTTAAGCGAATCGTACCATTGTTAAGCAAACTTGGCTTCCCTCCATTGACTTTGCTTACCAGAAGACGGCTAAGGAAGATTAGAAATGGTCATCGCGGGAGCCCGGGAGAGGGCAAGGGTCATATGAAGACACGCCGGTTGCCAACGCCTGGATTTTGATCACGTGACCATAGCGATGCTGCAGGGGTTGTAAGCGTGAAAACCGATCACAAGTCACATTTTTCAGTGTCATCGCAACTTTGAACCATCACTAAACGAATGGTTATAAGTGCTCGGTCATATACTGTATATTGCATACTAGGAGAGCAGAGAGAAGCTCTGGAAAGGGCTGTGCAATCTTCACCAATGTTGTCTTCCAGATCTGCTGGGATGAGAGCTCCCAGCCCCATCCACACTTCCCAGAGTTGCCGTCCTCCTCTTCCTCTTCCTTCTCCTCTTCTTCTCCTCGTCTTCTCCTCTTCCTCCTCCTCCTCCAACACCCCCAGATATTTATGTTTCAATCCTAGGAAAGTTTTGAAATGAGGATTCCTTTTTTTGAATTTACAAGCTGCTCCACCTTCATGATAGATAAATAATCTTTATTGTCATATTTTACTGTGGACACAACGGCACGCATTACAAGTGAAATTTAGTTGCTTGCTCTCGAAGTGTACACATGCATAACACACATTAGACATACTAACTACAACATATGTATAGACCAGTGGTGGCGAACCTAGGGCACGGGTGCCAGAGGCGGCACTCGGAGTCCTCTCTGTGGGCACACATGCCGTTACCCCAGCCTCGCCTACCCCCACGACCCCCTCCTCACCAGCAGCTCCCCTGGAGGAGAGTCACCCCTGAGCGTGGCCCACACAAAGCAGTGCAGCCAAGGACATGGCAGCCAGACAGTGTAGACAAGACTCTGCCCTCATGCCCCATTGCATACAGTTGATGCTGTGGGGTGCGGGCAGAGGGCATGGCTGCCATGGCGCTGCTGGGCTGCGTGGGTGATGTGCGGTGGGCCCTGTAGGTGGTGAGTGGCCCTGCAGGCAGGCGGGGGGGGCGGGGCAGGGCCGGTTTTTGGGCACTTGGTCTCTAAAAGTTTCGCCATCAATGGTATAGCCCAGGGGTAGGCAACCCAAAACACTTAAAGAGCCACTTGGACCCGTTTCCCACCAAAAACAAAACACTGGGAGCCGCAAAACCATATTGATATCTAAAATGAAGATAACACTGCATATATCCTTTTTTACCTTTATTATAGGTGTTTGTGTGTGTGTGTGTGTATATATATATGTATATGTATGTATATATATATATTTGTTTTCTGAGGTTTTCGCGGGTATTTGTATATAGGTTTTTGGTTGTTCGGGTTTTCTCCCGCGTAAAATTGGAAGTGTCTTGGCGACGTTTCGACGAAGTCACATTCGTCATCTTCAGGCTGGTATTTTTAGCTTCTTGCTTTGAGCAGCAATGTGTGGTTTTAGCTGTTTCTTCCTTTTATATATATATATATACATACACACACAAACACACACACACACACACAGGTAAAAAAAGGATATATACAGTGTTATCTTCATTTTAGATGTCAAAAGGGTCTCTCTCTCTCTCTCCCTATCTGCCCTTGGTCTGCCACTCCTCTTCCCCCGCTCTCTTTCTTTCTCTCTCTCTTTCCTCTCTCTCTCTCTCTCCCTCTCTCTCTCTCTTTCTCTCTCTCTCTCTCCCCCCCCTCTCCTATCTGCTGCTCACCTGACAAGCTTCAGGCTGTTGTCCAACAAGATCAGGGGTAGGCAACCTCATCTCTTTTATGACTCATGGACTTCAACTCCCAGAATTCCTGAGTCAGCCTAGCTGGGCTAGCTAGCTCTCTCCTGCCCTTCCTGCTTCCTGCAGAGATGCAGCAAAGGGAGGAGCTCCACCCAGTAAGCTTTTCAGCTCCTCGGAGAACACTGTGAGTGCACTCTCTTTTTTACACACAAACACACACACAAACACAGAGAGAGAGAGAGAGAGAGAGAGAGAGAGAGAGAGAAGCAGGGAAGCGCAATTGCCTCTCTCTGTCTCTGTCTCTCGCTGCAAAGGCAGAGGAGGCTGGGAGCCGCAGGGGAAGGCTCAAAGAGCCGCATGCGGCTCCGGAGCCGCAGGTTGCCGACCTGTGGTATAGATTTACACCCTTACATGTAAGTAGCATATAAATATTAATCACTGTCCATCTTGAATATATAACCGAAGGAGGAAGGAGGATGGACTCTTCCAGTGATGCTCTTCTATTTCATTTATACAAAAGAAGCCTAATATGTCTGCTTGTTGTCCTTGTTCTTTATTTTCTTTGCAGAAACCGGATTTTAAGATCCGGTTTCCATGGAGGTGGATTCTAGCTCAACCACGCCCAGTTTTAACAGCCCTTGGAATTTTCTTCCTGCGTTATGACCTTGGTGCACTATAAGCAGCAGGTGAAAAAGGATGGACATACGATGTGAAAGGAAGCTTAGGAAATTTCAAGCATTATTTTAACAACTTAATATTACACACACACACACACACTGTTGTTGCTTGATGTGACTTTGTTACAATTAATTCTTACCAAAATATGTATCAACAGAAATTAATTGAGATTGGAAATTAAGTCTTTGCAAATATTGGCACTTTTAATTAAACTGATATCATTCTTTGCCCCCTCCTCCCCTGTTAAGGATTTAACAGGATTTCCATTCCCTGCTCAGTTTATTAAACATGCTCTTTGCAAACTTTGTGCTCCCAGAAAATATGAATTGAAGAACTGAAATAATGAAGACGTTTCCTTCTGCAATCACTACAAAATATTCCAAAAATACGAAGGAAACGAGAAGACGTGCCTTTCAGTATACATGTCCTGCTACATATTTAGGTGTTTATAATTTTAAGTATGAATCAAGCTTTGGGCAGCTAACGGAGGCTTCCCCATGACTATAACAGAAAACTGAGGGCTTGTGGCTTGTCCAATGTGGATGAAATATAATTCCTAGTATCTCCTGATTATTACGACGTCCTGGGCTGGGATTTGTTTACAGTAATAAACGACCAGCAGGCATGAAGAACAATGCTTTAATGATAATAGGATGCATGAATAAAGTCGGCACTGAGAACTCTTCGTTCTCAGTGCCTTTATATACCGTTTGAACATAACCACACCCAAGCCCCACATCTGAATCCCCTACAGCCAACAACAATCAGTTTCGCCTAATTACCCCCCCCCCCAAAAAAAAACCACCATCCGGCTCTGTACAAACTCCCCAGGAGCTGACGATCTGTCCCGAATAGTGTCCTCTGCGCATGCACACGAGTGCCAGTTCAGCTCCTATCAGTCACTGCGTATGTGCGAAAGTACTTAGAAGTCCCTGCGCATGTACGGAAGTGTCCAGTAGTCTGCGCATGTGCGGCGGTGTTCAGAAGGCTCTGCGCATGTCCGGAAGCGCCGAATAGCAACTGCGCATGCGCAGAATGCCGTATGCCGTTTTGCCTGTGCGCATGTGCAGAACAGCAAGACGGTTCCATGGTTAGACGTCAGGCTCACTCTGGATTCCGTACAGCGTCGTCGCCATTATGGGACATGGCTAGAAGTACCGAGAACTTTGGGACTCGTTCGAACAGCCGGAGGTGCCTTGTTTACTCAACCATGCCTTAAAGGGCCCGACACTGATGTTGATGATGTTATCCATTCAGTCATGTCCGACTCTTGGTGATTCTAAGAGCCTGGTCTCTCCACATCTTTTGATCTTGCACTACATCTTTGAGTTGTTAAATATTTGATCAAACTGAGGAACTTCAGAACCCTAATTCAGATTTTCTGGAGGGCCAACTGCTCCCCAGCACTTACATTCTGTGATTTCATGAAATTCAAAAAGCCATTTCTTCTATGATGAAGCGTTTAAATACTTCTAACTTTTTGCCCTCCAATATATCTTAGTTTGTTATTTTTATGCTTTCCCCAGTGGTCAGTGGCAGCAAACATTAAATAGTCTTGTGCGATTGTCCTGCACTTAAGAAATATTACCAGTTTCAGCCGATTTTTTTAAATTTTATCACAGCTATTAAAGGTGAAACTTGTTGCAATTTTATAATGCTGCGTAATGTCACCAGGTACTATACAATCCTTTTACACTAATGGGAGCAAGCTTGCCCTCCAAAATTATGCTGAATTTCTCTTTTCCCTAAGAATTTTCTCAGGGAGAAAAGGAAATTTCCTCCAAATTATTACCATTATTCCAGTGATATGTGGGTTGGAGAACATTTCCTCTCATCTTGTATAAATTTAAGGTTCCAAATATATAATTTCTGATCAGGAAGACAGATGAACCAAGACGGTTGCTCTCCATCGTTCAAGAATGTGGTCAATAGAACATTTATATTTTTACTTTTGCTTTTTCATGCTTCTTTCACTCAGGCCTAAAATATATATAAATAGTTCAGAGGCTGGATTGAAAGCTCTCTTGGATACAGAGGTTTCCAGGAAAGTCCTAAGCTTAATGTTAAGGAAAAAATTGTTTCCTTCTTGCAGCCTTTTCCCCCACAGACTGCTTTCAACTACATTTTCTCTCTGAACCAAGAGAATTCTCACTGAATTTGTCTGAATCCATCTGAAAGCCGTCTGAACCAAAGGCTAGTGCTGGGTCTCATAAATCATGAATTACAGCCAAGTGGTCCCTTAATGCCACGGTTCTCAGCTTCATCTCTGGAACTTCTTTGAAACATCACTCTGAATTCTATAAGCCCAAGAAGCTTTTCACAGTCCCATCATTGTTAATTAGTTTCTTTTAACATTTGCCTTCCAGGAAGCCCATTCAAGACTTTTT